GGCCTCCTTGGCTGGAACAGAACAGACAGAGAGTTCATAGGCGGCCTCCTTGGCCAGAACAGGACAGGCAGAGAGTTCATCGGCGGCCTCCTTGGCCAGAACAGAACAGACAGAGAGTGCGTTGCTGGGCGCTACCACCATGCAAGGAACTGAGGCAAGTGTCGCCATCTTGGGAGGTTCTGCAGCCTGTGCCGCCACCTCCGAAGAAACTACAGTGGACACCATGGCCTCTGGGAGCACAGCAGTGGACACCGCTACCTCGGGAGGTTCTGCAGCATAAGCCGCCACCTCTGGAGATGTTGTAGCCGGTGCTGGTGCTTCTAGCAAATCGGCGGTGGAGTACGTGGCCCAGATACATCATAAAGCAACCCCCCATATGGGAAGTGCTGCAGACAGGGGAATGAGTTCATGAATAGAAGGGTTAGAGTGAGTGGGTTTGGGGATACCAGCGGTGCTAGACTCATAAATATCAGCTGTGACTTGACCAGACTCGGGATAGTAAACTGTGACTCGCTTTGACTCATGACGATCAACTGTGACTAGACTCGACACATGACTATCAGCTGTGGCTTGACTAGACTCATAAATATCAGCTGTGACTTGACCAGACTCGGGATAGTAAACTGTGACTCGCTTTGACTCATGACGATCAACTGTGACTAGACTCAACTCAGGAAGATTAGCTGTGGCTTGACTGAACTCAAGAAGAACAGCTGTGACTAGACTTGACTCATGATAATGAATTGTAACTTGACTTGACTCATGACGATCAACTGTGACTTGACTAGACTCATGACTATCAGCTGTGACTTGACTAGACTCATGATAATAAACTGTTACTGGACCTGACTCATGATGATCAACCGTGACTTGACTAGATGCTGTTGTGTCCACCATCTTGTGAGTGTGCTCCGCTGTCGCTGCCATCTTGTGAGCGTGCTCTAGAGTGACAGCCTCAGTACTTAAACTACTTCAGTCTCTGTGCATTGAATTTATTTAATACACAAGTTTCACAATTTGAGTTGAATTACTGAAATAAATGAACTTTTCCACGACATTCTAATTTATTGAGATGCACCTGTAATAGAAGCATCAATAAATTGCCCCAAAAAATAAAAATAAAGAAGTTGACTGACTAATAAACACACCTCCAGAGAAACAAAACGTTGCTTTTCCAGAGAGAGGAAAATACAGTAGTCAACATTTGAATTGGATCAAAAAAAGTTCAAAGTTGTCCTAAGACAAGAACACATTTTGGTTTTAGGACAACTTTGATGAAATGTTTTGATCCACTTCAAATGTTGACTAGTGTAAATAAGTTTTTAAGAGGAAGCATTAAACTACCTCTACAAGAAACACTGAAAAAGTACAAACTGAACAGAAGACAAGCCATTGAAAAACAGATTTTTATTTGGTTACACAAGATCACGGTTAATATCAACATGTAAATAGAAAGGGACTGAAACATTTATCAGAAGCAGCATCCTGGCTCAAGGTAGCGTTCGCAGAACCAGACTCCTCAGTAGCATCCAGGATGAAAGTGCCTTGCGGGTGAACAGAAATTGATGCACCAACCAACTGACTGTGGCCATCTCACAGACTGACTGCAGAGAGAGAACAAAGGGAGTATTTAATACAAAAAGCTAGTTACAAACGTTACTTTACTACAAGATTGTTCCAGATTAAGAAACACCAATTGCTCAGCACTCCACCTATAAATAGCAAGCTTGGGAGCTAAATATGGAGAAGTGGTCACTTGTGAACTTTTGTTGCATGGGTCACATGACAGAAGAACAGAATACTTGGAAGGTAAAGTAATCATTCAAGTTTCTCAAATTATTTTTGGCTGCATTTAAGACTTGCAAATTCAGAATGCGATCAAGATCATACAGGTGAACGTGTTTGGGGAATTTTAGTTCAAACTGATGAATGCCCATTCAAGCCCATTCTTTAGTACAAGTTTGACCACCAATGCAACCAGCCAAGTCATCTTTATTTATATAGCGCTTTTAACAATACAGATTGTGTCAGAGCAGCTTTACAGTATCAAAATAGGAAAATAGTGTGTCAATGCAAAAGGACAATAGTAAACACTCAATTTTCAGTTAAAGGCAGTTCATCATTGAATTCATTTACTATGTTTACATGGACATCAGTAATCTAATTATTTACCTTATTCTAAATAAGCCAATATTATGATTGTGTGTTTACAAGAGTTGCTTTCAGAATATTTTTTTCATGTTCCCGTTTTACATGTTGCAGTACATAGTTCGATTAATGGTGCATGTCATTACATCCTCATGCGACACCATCCGACATCCCCTCCGGAATTTCACGTATAAACATATAGTTCGTCTTCGTGATGATGCCATGTACAGTTTTGGGTGTTTCAATTGGCCTGTATACAGTAGCCAGTACAAACATCACAGGGGATTTATC